GTGTGTGTGTGTGTGTGTGTGCGTGTGTGTGTGTGTGTACATAATTCCAGATGGAAAACACGAATCACCGGTAATGGTTTTGCAAATATGAAATGAAAATGACAAAAAATTCAAAGACCAACAATTATAATCGTCGGTAGTGTCACACTGCTTGTGATCTATTTCGTCTTCCTCTTGTGGTTAAAAAACTTCTGGGGATCACGCTCCTAAAATTTGTTTGGAATAATCAATGTCAGAAATTAAAATTAACGTAAAAATAAATAAAGAATCCAACTACTACTACCTCTTTGTCACATATATGTCTGACAATATGGTCTAGATACAAAGGTAGTAAAGAAAAATCAACTAGACCTCCTCCAAAAGCCTCTAACTCAACATCCGCAACAGTCTCACCCTTCAGAGGTGGCACTGGATCAGCAACATCATCAGTAGAAAGTGGGATATGAGGTGGGACTGGATCAACAACATCATCTGTAGAAAGTAGCACTCGTGAAACTTGACGCCTGCGGGAGGATGGGGGAAGTGATGTGTCAGATGGTGGATCACATCTTCTATGGGAAGAAGCTGGAGTGTCCTAAGGAGAAGCGCGGGGCCTAGAAATCTGCTTGTCCAAAGGGAGTTGGAGCCTCTGAAACCTGCTGACTCTTCTCCCGCCGAACAGATGCGTGTTGAGTAACTTTGTTGCCTCAGTCTATCATGTTTATCTGTCATTATGCCTGTAAGTTAAAAGAAGATATACCATTAATATAAGCAAACAACATACTAGGAAAAAAATTTTAAAAAATATTGCAGGAAATTTCAGATATGCATATTTGGAACCACCAAAAAACTAAAACATTAAAAAATTCCAGAGATGCATCTCTGAAATTTTCTGCAAAAAATTAAACGCCGAACAATTTTGAAGATGCATCCCCAAAATTTTTTCAACTTAGAAGTTGCGCCAATGGTGTAATGTACCACATGCAAGCTAAATAAAATTGTTTTAATCATCATTTTCAGCCAACAAACAACTAATACACTATGTCTAAACTATCTTAAATGTGATTTTTACTTATTTCTAACCTTAATCATTAATTTCTACTTATTTACACCAAAATTCAAATATATATCGAAAACTAAAAAATACTTACTCGAAATTGATGTTTTTGATTAAGTTGGATGATGTTATGGATGAAGATTGATGTTCCCTTGAGCCTTGTTTGATGAAATTTGACTTGGCGTAGATAAGTGCTTTGAGAGAGGTTGAGTTGAGTTTGTGAAAATTGTGAAATGAAGAAGGAGAAAAATCTAATACGACTTATACTCTAAAATGTTTCGGAGATGCATCTCCAGAATATTTTAACGTTAACTTACATTTTGGAGCGTCCGGAGATTCATTTCCAAAAACATATAGCATTTGTAAAATTTGCATGCACTAAAAACATATAGGATGTGTTCTGGACTAGGCAAAGACCTGTCCTTCCGTCGGGTAGGCCCAACCCAAGGCTACGACGATGAGGCCCAACAAGGCCCAATTTTCTACGTCGGAGAGGAGCCTCAACAAGGCTCATCCCCCGGGCAGAAGACCTCCGGACGGGGAGGTCCACACGCTTTCTCCACGTTCTCCACGTGCTCCCCCACGCGGGGACACGTCATCAGGAAACTACCCACGTCCGAAAGAGATGGTCAGCCCACCTTCCGAAGATCACGGGGCAGTTGATTCAGGGCGAAGACCACGTGCTGGTCTTCACTATGCCACATAAGCCCTAACAGTTACTTGTGTTGGACTTAGCAATCCAGTCTGATGCAATGTAACCGTTGGCCCTGCGCTGGAGGCACATTATAAATACTCTCTTTCACTAGAGGGTCGGGTATCCTATTCTCCACACCTTTTTCTCAATACGTTCTCTCTCTAGTTCTGATATTTACTTAAGCATCGAAGCATTTTACAGGTACACCCCCTTTCTCCTCCACAACTTCGGTGAAGGTATCAGATCACGACGCGTGACAGGTCACTGACTCCTTTCTGATCAGGTGAGATCAGGATGCATTAAGCAATTCTCAAAAAAAATCAGCATTCATCCATTAGCAAAATAGGATTTTCCATTCAAAATCAAATCGAATTTGGACAAATGCATGCATGTTTGGATTTTGTTATTATGCTTAATTTGTATGTGTCTATTCTTTATGCACTGATGGCTTTTGTTATAATTCAATTTTTTTCCTTTTAAAAATAATTAATATATCAAAGATCACAAAAAGTTGGCTTTTTAAGTTATCTGATTCAAAGAAACAAGTTGAACCTAATAAACCGATTTGTTCATAAACGGAGTTCAAACTTAAAAAAGGTTCATAATAAATTCGAATCAAATTTCAATTTTGAACACATGCGAGTTTGATTCAACTCATTTTTAATCTTTTTCTCACCCTCATCCACACCTCAAGTCATTTTTAACCTTTCTCTCACCCTCATCCACACCACCCTTTATCCTTCATCAAATTTGAAGGCACGCTCTCATTTCTCCATCAAGAACCTGCAAAATATGACGCATATAGAGGCATAGAGGCAAGTGCATATACAAGTATGACGACCATTTTGAGGCAGCAATCGCAGATTCACCTCTTTAGTGTCCAGTTAAAGCCTTGATGGTACAATAAGTTGAAGTTGGGAGTATTGTGGACAACTTTTATTTGAAGATGTATCTAAAAGATAGTGCAGAGTGGAATACCTTACGCTAGGGGTGGCAAAATGGATGGATTGGATGGATATGGATTGGATTATTAATGGATGGATTAAAACAATCCATTAGTCCATTAACAATCCACTAAAATTTTCTTAAAATTATCCAATCCAATCCATCCATTAAGAATAAAATTCATCCAATCCATCCATTAACATATTTTTAATGGATGGATATCCATCCATCCAACTTTTTTTTATTTCATAAAAATAAATATATTTTTTTATGTTTAAAAAATTAATTTTATTTTATTTTTGAAAATTTTAATTTTTGTATTTTAAAAAAAAATTATTTTTTAATATATTTATTAAAAAACTGAATTTTTTTGTATTTTCAAAAAAAATTGATATTTTAATTTTTGAAAAATATCGATTTTTTTTCAAAAAAAAAGTCGGTTTTTTTTTCGAGAAAAAAATTTATTTATTTTTCGAAAAACAAATCAGTTTTTTATTCTGAAAAAAAAAAACGATTTTTTTCGAAAAAAAAAAAGTCGGTTTTTTTTTCGAAAAAAACTCAGTTTTTTATTCTGAAAAAAAACCGATTTTTTTTCCAAAAAAAAAAGTTGTTTTTTTTTCGAAAAACAAATCAGTTTTTTATTCTGAAAAAAAAACTGATTTTTTTCGGAAAAAACGATTTTTTTTTCGAGAAATTTTTTTTTTTTTTTTAAAAACAAATCAGTTTTTTATTCTGAAAAAAAACGATTTTTTTCCAAAAAAAAAGTCGGTTTTGTTTTCGAGAAAAAATTTTATTTTATTTTTCAAAAAACAAATCAGTTTTTTATTCTGAAAAAAAAAAACCGATTTTTTTCGAAAAAAAAAACAGATTTTTTTTCAAAAAAAATTAAACTTTTTTTTTTGTAAAAAAATATATTTTTTAATTATTTTAAAAAAATCTATTTTTAAAAATATAAATCTAACGAAAATAAAAATAATCCATTGAATCCTTAAAATATGTTGGATGGATTGAATTCATCCATGCATATAAATGGATGGATTTAATCCAATCAATTAACTTATTTTCTGTATGGTGGATGGATTGGATAAATTTTGCCTTAATGGATTCAATTGCCACCTTTACCTTACGCACTTGCTTTAGGACTTACATGACTTAGCCGCCCATGAATTTCACCATAGACAGAAGCAATGGTCAAGGATTGCCAACAAAGTGGCAGGCCTGGATACCAGAGAGAAGGCTGGACACCAAAAGGCTGCGGACAATAGCTTAATTCAATGTTGTAAATTATGATCCATCGTGGACCACCGATAGTACTGATTCGTGGTAGAGTATGTAATGTTTTATGCAAATAAAGACTAATATCATGGTTACTTGACAATGTTGTCAAGCTTGCCTAAGTCTATGATAAAGAAGACCCACGCATGTAATGTAAAATACTGGCTTTAAAAATTGGACAGCCCGGGAATGAAAGGACTTGATTGTAACAAGAAGAATACTTGAGGAATCAAAATTGCACTAACATATATTAGAGACTAACAGTACAATTAAGCCAAAAATAAAAAAACTAGCTTTCTCTTTATTTTGTCCATCTCTGCAATGTGTTCTTGTTCCCCTCCACTGTGTTGTATCAATTGGAACTTTGCAAAAGCATCAAACTAAAGAACACCCACAAAGTTTGTTTACTTCCATTTGCCTTGGCAATTTTCAGCTAATCAGCCATGGATCTAACAGGGTGCCATACATAGAAGTGGCATATAGCTCATTGTCACCCAAAGGTGCACAGCCACTTAAGTTAATAATACAAAATATTCTAGCGAGAAAACTCAGTAGGCAAGAGCATATTCTATTAGAGAGAAAAATAATCTAGAGCATAATAAAACAATAGCTAAGACGGGATTTAAGTGAATCAATCTAGAACTGTAGAACATTCATGTACTTGTATATTCCAATATTATTTCTCTCATATTGCAGGCTCTTACTTAACATATCCCTCTATATGTTCCATGATATAAGGCCATACTTATAATCTCATTTAAGAAAAAAATTTAAATTCCATTTTGAATAAGAGAACTGTAAAAATACAACAGTTTACTTTAAAAATCAGACAATGTGCATTTAGAAACTTTTGAGTCTAAGAGTCTAATCAATTTTTACACTCTGATTTGGCAAGTGGCAACAAACATTGAACTCTAAGAAAATGTAACATGGCAATAATCTTAGGTCAATTTGGTTTCAGCTGATAGATCTTTTAGTTGACAAAATGTACAAGCCAACTGCAATGTAGAGAAATCTCTGACCTCAAACTCCTATTAACCAAAAAATAGGTCACCTCCCAAAGCATCTCATAACTGAGGAGGTAAGAGCAGAAGTCAGAAATGTCATTCCAGCAGATCCACCGGGAAAGTATGATATAGCATAGTACCCAAGTGAGAGAACCTACAAGTATAGACAATTTCATTTTAGAAAGAAAAAACTAAATATTACATACAAAAAATCTAAAGAAGACAAATTCCCACACCCCATTTGCTGGAAGCAAGTTAAAAACACAGCACAACCATCACATAAAGCCAGCAATCGGGAATGTGGAAATAGAAGCTTTTGAAATTATATTGGTTTTGTTATGATGAATAATTTTCATAGTCAAAAGTCAAACCCTCATATACTTTAATCAACATCAAATTTTAGACAACACATGCTGAAGAGCAAAGCTACAAATGATCATTTTAAGAATACAAGGAACTGTTACCTGTACGACAGAGAATACCACAGAAAGAACATAGCTGTGACGCACCATTGATACATATATCGTACCTATCATACTGCCTAAAAAGACCAATGTAAAAGGGAGCCTCTGAAAAATAATCGCAAAAAAAGACAATCAGAAAGTAGGAAAAAACATGAGAAACCGAATCAAAATAGACTATACTTTTTGAATGTTCAAAAACTCAAACTGAAGCAACTAATCAAGTTTTTTTTACTTTCCATGAAAGGAACGGGAAGATAAATTCTTGTTACCTCCTTTGACAACATGTGAGCAAGCTGATTCTTCGGACCCTTAAGAGCAAAGAATGATCCAATAATAAATCCACATCCAAGAGTAAAGCATATAGCAAACTTTTGGGGCATAACCACCATGACTGGCAGGAACAATGTAAATGCTATGAAAACAAAGAAGACCCCACTTGCCAGTAACAAACCAAAATACACTAGTGCTTTGCCAGAAGGAACGCTACTAGTTGCAGACTGGAAGCTGCCAGGTAGTTCTCTCACACCTTTGGAAACCCTAAACAATAAGACAGATTGCATAACTATTTGAGGACAAGTTCAGGCAAAACTATTCAGCATTAGCTGCATGTTCTTTCACCAAGATGTAGGAAATCCATTAATGAAAATATTAATACAGGAGACATTGCAAATACCCACCATCTGTTCTTTTATGCAACAATATTATACATTCAAGTAAAGAAACTGAAGAAAAATAACAATGGCCTGTCACATTCAGATAAGGCAGACAGAACAGACCATTTTTCCTCAAGCAAGTGTTTCGGAAACTTGTAACCAGTCTGTACATCACTTTGCAAGTAGACAGCAAGGAGTTACTGACACAGAAATAGAAATGAAAAGTTCAAGCACTGGTTTATGATTATGATTGCTTCCATGGTGTTAATACATAATGTTGTCACCAAGAAGAAAAACAAAACTGAAGTTAGAGTAAAATCATCCAAGGCGTGAATGATTTTACCCACTACAAACTTTGCAATAATAGAATGTCAACCAATCTCTGAATACTGCATAAAAATAAAAATAATCATAACTCAGCTTCTTACCTCTAAGCTATTCACGAGTATAAGAATGACAATGTATGGACAGCTTGCAGAGATTTAGGTTTGGCCAAGGTGGGAAAAAATAGATTATTACTGGTTGCTAATTATGTTGCCACATAATAACAGAAAGTGATAAAGTTTAGACGGGTCATCCCTAACCGTACACATTGGTACACATCAATGAAGGGTTGAGCGGCTTGAGCCCAATAAAGTTATTGCATGACATCTTTGCTTCCCAATGGACAATAACAAGGTCTAGCTGAGTCAACCCCTGAATGTATCAATGAATAGGAACACATAACTATATGTTTTCCCACTGAGGACGGTAATAGGGTGTTGCCTGAGTCAACTCTATACTAAACAAATAAAAATGGAACATACAAGTGTATAACTATGTGGGTTGAGCCTACAGAAGTTATTGCTTGGTATTAGAATTTGATCTTAACCTTGCAATAAACTGCTGAACTAGATTAGACTGCTTGTCACAGTGATGTCATTTACATGTATAACATCAAATAGAGAATGTTGAAACCATAGACAGCGGGTAACAAAAGATTGTTTGATAGAGTTGAAGCCAGAACTATGGCAGACCCCAATGTCTCAAATTATAAAGTAAACAGGAGCTACAACAAATAGTGTGTCAAGGTCAAGAGGAGGCAAAGGACGTTTCAGTTGGGATGGGAAACAATCCCCTCAACTTATTTGCTTCTAAGAAAGAGCAAGGACCTACTACCTACAGGCAGAGACAACACAACAAACTTATGTGCCGTCTTTGTGAATCATATATGTTCTTTGCTCGTGATATCTACAAGGAGCCTTAATCCATATCAAGGTAGTCAAACTCAAGATTTTACTCAGAATCAAGAAAGCGAAATAAAATTGTAACATGAACGGTAAGAATCTATGAAGTTTATAGAAACTCATATATGCGCCTACGAATACATATAAATAAGAGAGAAATAAAAACCTTTAAATCAAACTTCAAATAACTAATTAAATTTAAATACATGAGCATAACGAAGTCAATGGAAAATAGTCATACACAATTCACAAACTTATCACAAACAAAACAACTTCAGCTAGTACAAAATACCAAGGCGACACCTAGTCTTCAAATAGATTATCTAAATTAATTTTTTCGAATATAGAATACAATTAATGTTTCACTTTCCAAGTATAAGTAGAATTCATTATATCATAGGGTTCATTGCATTCTTAGATTCACTATACCTTAGAAATCAACTCTAGTTTTGGTTTCTCTTCATGTAATTTGAATTTATAATTTTATATATATAAATAGATGTTCTTGTAGTGTGTTAATCATTTGAACATTCAAGAAATACCTATCATTATATAAAATATGCATTCGTATGGGTAAGGGTGTGCAAAAAAACCGGTTATATTTAACAAAATTGATATCCAAATTGTTTCACTTTTAAAAATCCAATCCAAATGCTAAAATATAAATGTGCGTATCCATTTTATTATCCAAATATAAACCGGTACCCATAATAATAATATGGTTTAGTTATTGAGTACCCAAATTTCATTGTATTTTAAACTTATATGATTTTCTCTTTTCATGTTTCATCGTATAAATATTGGAGTCAAGGTTGGAACACGTGACCTCTACTTTATAGCAAAATCTTTTTTCAAAAATAATTTATATTAATTTTTTAACAAAACATATAAATAATCATATTACTATGCAACCTCTACTTTATAGCAAAATCTTTTTTCAAAAATAATTTATATTAATTTTTTAACATAACATATAAATAATCATATTACTATTTAATTTACAAAGACCATCTTACAAAATTTTGAGACACTACTTTTTTTATGCTCGAGAGACTGTGGGACTGGTTGCCTGGGCGACATACTCTTCTCCTTCTCTTGATTTTTATTCTTATAGTTGATATTTTAAAAAATAGAATGATTTGTATAAGGTGATGTTTCTGTTTCCGTTTCCATTTCCATTTCTTCATATGCACAGTACGTATATGTGAAAACTTTACCTATTTTAGTTTACTAAAAAAAATTAAAAGTGATGGAAAAGGGGGGTTTGTTCATAAACATAATCATGTACTAATAAATCCAAACATATTAGAAGGAAAATGTTGAGCATAGAGGAGATTAATAAAAGTTATTTTAAGTATTTAAATTTAAAAGTTGATATTAATTTAAAGAAAATAAAATTTAAATTTAATTACATAATTTGGGTTAAATCAAAACCAATTTAGAACTGGTTTTGAACCGGTTTTAAACCGGTTTGGAACCGATTATGAATTTTAAACAGGTTCTTGTAACAAGTGGTTTGGTTTATAAACCATAACTATAAAAATGGATTGGTTCACATTAAAACCGGTTTGGAACCGGTTATGAATTTTAAACAGGTTCTTGTAACAAGTGGTTTGGTTTATAAACCATAACCATAAAAATGGATTGGTTCACATTAAATGGTTATCCATGCACACCCCTACATATTGGTTTGTGCATGTATGAGTTTTATAAATTTTACAGAATCTTACAATTCGTGTTACGTTTCCAAAAAGTTTACAGCTTTATTTCTATTTCTAATAAAATCTATTCATTTATGGATGTCCAACCAAATACAAAAAACTAGGGTTTTGTTACTACAACAGAAAGTAACTACAAAGTTACCAACTACTCCCTCCATCTCATAAAAAAGTGTCTAATTTGCACTTTTTCTATGTCTCAAAATAAATGTCTCTTTACAATATCAATACGATATTTATTATCTTTTCCTTTATTATACTCTTATTACTACAATAACTATAATTAATAAGGGGATTTTAATAAATGATATTAAATTTATCATTAAAATCAACACATCTAATCATTTTTTAAGAACCGTGCATAGCTCAAATAAGACCCTTATTATGAGGTGGAGGGGAGTACCTATAACTGAAAACAATAAGCAACCTTAGAGAAAACATAATGTGCAACAGGCATGCTTAAACCTTAGAGAAAACATAATGTGCAACAGGCATGCTTGCTTCATCGCTGTTAACAAAGGTTAGTGATGACTATAGGTCTACCATAGTCAAATATTTGCATCCGTCTTTGGCCTTGTGTTAAAAATGTCCCTAAGGAATGAGCTAGTGGTCGAGTCGTTTTTTGTAATTGATATTAGAAAATTAAAGAATAATGTAGTACAAAACAAAAAAAGAAAAGAACTTATTAGGATCTCTTAAACAACAGTCTATCCGCATGACCCTGTGTTTGCCAACTACTATCAAATCTGCTACTGGACATGCAGGCCAGTCCAAGCAGCCCAAATCCATTAGTTGACTTGCAAAATGCTTTTTTTTGTCCCCTGCTTATTGTGTTGAGCACCATTTTCATCTTCTTCTCATCCTTGTCTCACTCATTTCATTCCACACCAACCCTATTCTTTCTTCCTCCTTTCCTTTCCGTACTCACTCACAGATACCTACATCTCCAACCAAAACCCGCCCATTTTCAGAGAAACCTGTTTTCACCTAAACTCATTTTCAGCTAAAGTTTGCATTTTTGCGCCTTATCATGAACATTCAACCCAAAATTAAACCTGGGTCCCCACCCGGGTTACCTTCCACCAACTCTATTTAGTAAAGAATTTGACGGAAACATAGGAAAATAGTTCGGCCACTATAAGCAAGTTGAGGAGAGAGAACATAAAACTGGTAGATGAGAAGAGTAAGCTTGAGAAATTTGATACGAGTTCAAGGGAGGTCCAAGAGGTTCACAAAAAAGATGGGCCGAGTCAGAAGAAGGAATGGCCCAAAATAAGCACAAAGGAGTCCAAATGGTTGGAGGATTACAAGAGGTTCTAGAACCTATAATCTAGAGTGAAAATAG